TCATTACATCTTTTGAAAGTGGGATTTTCATAGCATGGGAGATCGAGCTTTTTGCGCAGCTGCACCTAGACTGTGGAATGCTCTTCCTGAGTATCTGAGGACACCACAGACTGTTGATGCTTTTAAATCTGGTCTTAAAACTTATCTTTTTAACAGAGCTTTTCGGGTCGAATTAATTTTGTAGCACTTTGAGATTTGCTTTCAAATATAAAGTGCATTATAAATTAAATGTATTATTATTATTATTATTACCAGTTGCATTTGCCAGCAGTCCTGAAAGACTAACAGCACAGTAATGTATAAAACACAAAATTAACACTATTGCAACCTACGGTAACAGTATAGTACATAGCATAAGAGTCTGTCTTTAAAGTTAAATTATTAACTAATCTTATATTGTGTGAGCGTAAGAAATGAGCCTGGCTACTGAGTCATGCTCAAAGGAAGGATGTTTTACAGACCTGATATTGGCTGTTGTGAAGACCTTTCTGCTTCACTGATTTTGGTTTTATTTTCAGAGCCGTTATTCCCCAAACTTACAGGTTTAGACACTGGCAATGATATTACAACAACATAAGAGACATATGTATATATTAAGATATACTGTATAAGGCCAAAATCTTATCACAACATTTAAGAGATTCTCACAATATCAATATTTATCACTATAATATAAAATAATTTTATTGAAAACATGACATGTTCCTTCCAGCCTTCCTGAGCATTTGGAATGTATTCAGTTATTCACTTTCCCAAATCTTAAGTTATTTACAATGTGTCATTTCAGTTTTTTATTTTGAATAAAATGTACAAAAATGTAAATACCTGTTTATATTGTTATTATTGATTACTGTGTAGATTGTGAAGGGAATGAATTATTTATTTATTGTAATTTTGTAATGATAAAACATGGGGTAAGCGAAGTTCTGAATTTCTTTCTATTTTACTTTGGTTGTGAGACGACATACAAAGTGGTCAGTGGTTAGTAAAATGGAATCAAACTACCTCTGCAAGTTGAAGTGTCCCTTTGTTGTTTTGAATACTTGTCCTCAGACTGATTCTCTGGAACCTCCTCAGGGACACCTAGGGAGGAAGAAAATAGCAAACACAATCATGCATCATACAAAGCACTGGTCATATGATGCAGTACACTAAGCAGTATGCAAGGATGGGGTTAAGGTGTATTAATCATAAACACAGAAGATATCAGGGTTAGTGAAATAGGGTTACAAAAGTCTAGAAGGTGCAGGAATGTTATGAAATATAGGACGAGTACTAAATGGATTTTAATAATACGTACCAATGGACATGGATGGTTGCTGATATTGTTCCTTTTGTAGTTGTGCTGTCTCATCTCCCTCCTCGCTCTCAGATACCACACTGGCCAGTGGCCACATATACTTGCTCTGAAAAATAAGATACACAAAATATTTAGATTGGCATAGTACAACCGAACGAAAAAAAAAACAAAATACATTTGCATTTTTGTTCATACCGTCCGGGTCAATATGTATCTCCTCTAGGTTTTTGCCCTTGTTATTCTGACATTCTGCCCTGCTCAAGTGCCATCAGCACCTTGCTAATCTTGGCCAACTGTAAGGTATGTTCTGGACACATGCTTTCTGAGTTTTGTTGATGACAAGGTCTTGGTGTATTTTGCTCCAAATTCACTGGCTAATGTTCGAATGGCATCTGACCCTCTGAAGTGCGTGTCTGCTCCAGGCCTTGCAAACATGTACTGGTTTTCATAAGGTACTCCACATGTTCTGCAGTGTTTCACCAGCAGCTCTATGGATGCATAAGCGGCAGCATGTGGCTCAGTGGGCTAAGCCTGTGTGCTTGTAATCACAAGGTCACCAGTTCAAACCCAGCCTCAGCATGTCTGCAGGTCCTTGAGTAAGGCCCTTATCCCCTAACTCCCTGAGCACCCCAACAGGTGGCTGCCCTTCACAGACAGCTTGTTCTACAAAAAGCAAGTTGATGGAGGCATAAAAAGAGTTTCCCCATGAGGGACAGTAAAGGTTAAATTATTCATTATTATAATTATATCTGGGGTGAGAAGAATTGGTACCTTCCTATCACACTTTCCTCTGATTTCTATGCGCTGGAAATGCCAACATAATTTCTGCTTCACTTCAGATAAGGCATCTGCAATGTCAGAATGCAAAACCAATGTGTCTCTTAGACTGTAGGAACTTAGTCTCATTTTGGACACTTCCCTCGATCTCCGACAATTAAAAAGTATTACCTCACAATACAGTAACTCGAGCAAGATTTGACCAGTGCTTTGAGTTTTTCTCCATGTTGAGTGTGCTTTGGTACTCTTTTCATCTTAATTCAAGGTGTAAATGCATTTTCTTCACATCTTCAGTAAATGGAAGTTGTGGATTGTTCCATTTTGATTCATGAAGAGTCTTCAAAGCACTAGCTGACACACACTCATTAAACCTTTTTGCATTCTGTACAATTTCATCTTGACCTTCAATCATTGCTTCACATTCCACAATGTCAGCTATTTTTTTAAGGTTGTGGCCCAACTTCAGGGCCAAAGAAGGAACTCTGAAACAATCATTATCATCTTTGAATCGACAGGTATTTTTCACAGCCTCAGTCACATTATTGAGGTTTGTAGGAATGAAACAATCTTCCATCTTTTGGAGCTTGCCTAATTTTCTAGCGTGAAACAGCAGCCTTCCAGCCTCACGCATTTTTTGTCTGATGTATTCATGTTTTGTCTTTTACTTCCCATTTTGTTACACAGATGTTCTCCTTAACTTAACAAAGCATCACTTTGAACGGTCTGTGTTACTTCGTCTTGCTTCATGTCACTCATCAGTCGCCATGAGGTCTGACTTACACCTTCAGGAACCGGCTGTGCAT